AGAGAGACGCAACTTGTTTGTGATCTCTGTGTACGCTCCAACTGACTGCAGTGGCGACTCGGTCAAGGACGAATTCTATCGGGATCTACAACAACTCTTGACTAATGCTAAAAAGTCGGATGTCGTTATCCTTGCTGGGGATTTTAATGCACGGGTTGGCCGCCTGTTACCATACGAACGCCACCTTGGTGGTCATCACGCGCTCGATGAGAACCGCTCTGATAACGGAGAGAGACTTCTCACATTGTGCGAAGACAACCGTCTGTTTCTTTCGAGCACTAACTTCAGGCGTACGAAGAAGCGTTCCGCAACGTGGCGTCCCCCTTCTTCAACACAACCGTGGTCTCAAATTGATCACATTGCAATTAGCTTCAGATGGCGCGGCAGCGTACTAGACTGCAGGTCCTTTTGGTCCACATTCGTTGACTCAGATCATGCTCTGGTCTGCGCGAAAATCTGTATGTGTTTTGGAGGATCCCGAAACACGAAGCACCGCAAGATTGATGTAAACAGATTAACTGATTCCTCTGTCCAGACGAGCTATCAGTCTTCATTGGCATATGCACTCAGTTGCAATCCACCGCAAGAAGTGGAACAACACTGGACTTGTATACGGAAGGCAATGACCATTTCCGGACAGTCATGCTGTGGCCTAACTCGACGCCCATTGAAGGCTTGGATCTCTGCTCGTTCTCTGGAGCTGTTCGAACGCCGCAAAGATATACCCGCGGAATCAGATTGCAACGAGCGGCGCCGTTCTGCCAACCGGCTGCTCAAGCAAAGCCTACGCAAGGATCGCGAGACATGGTGGTCTGAACGTGCTTTAGAGATGGAGACCGCTGCCCTCTCTGGCAACACTCGCAGGCTTTTCCAACTCATTCGGTCCACTGGCCTCAGGAAACCTGGTGTCAGTGAGGTCATTTGTGAGGTGGATGAGTCTCCGATCACCAACCAACAGAGGCGTATGGACCGTTGGGCCGAGCACTTTCACTCGCAGTTCAACTGGCCTCCACCATCCATCAGTACATGCAGTAAACCTTGTTGTCCACCCTGGCTCGTCCCTCTGAATCCACCCAGCGAAGCGGAAGTCGGCCTTGAGATTCGACGCTTGAAGCGCTTCAAGGCTGCCGGATTAGACGGACTTCCTCCGGAGCTATTCAAGTACGGCGGTGTGGCGATCATTAACCAGCTTACCGCGCTGTTCGCAAAAATTTGGCATGAAGAGAAAGTGCCTTCCTCTTGGGGAGAATCAGTCATTATCCCGATTTTCAAGAAAGGCGCTCGCACTTCATGCGCAAATCATCGCGGGATTAGTCTTATTTCGGTTGCCTCTAAACTATTGGCATCTATTCTGCTTCGCAGGCTATCCCCAGTACGTGAATCATACTACCGTGAAGAACAAGCTGGTTTCCGTCCTGGCCGCGGATGTGTGGATCAAATCTTCACGCTCCGCCAGCTCCTCGAACATCGCCACATTTATCACAGGCCCACTATCATTGCATTTCTAGACATACGTGCCGCTTTTGACTCCGTTGATCGTCCTGCTTTATGGCGTTGCTTACTAAAGAACGGGGTGCCAGAGAAATATACCGCCATCTTACGAGCACTTTACCTTCATACATGCGGCAGAGTGAGGGTCTATGGCAAGCTTTCCTCGCAATTCACTGTCAATAGCGGTGTGCGACAGGGCTGCCCTATGTCCCCATTCCTCTTCAACTTCGCAATTGAAGACGTTCTGTCGAATGCTCTAGAAGGTTTCCAACATTTTGGCCTAGAGCTTCTTCCGGGTGAGCGCGCGACCGACTTAGATTATGCTGATGATATCGCCTTACTTGGTGACGATCCTCAGAGTATGCAACTCACTCTGGATCGTTTGGCGGTTGAAGCATCTAAGTATGGTATGAGCTTCGCCCCATCGAAGTGTAAAATACTGCTCAAAGATTGGCATTCACCTGCTCCCGTACTCACTCTCGATGGTGCACAACTTGAACAGGTAGATAGTTTCGTCTACCTTGGGAGCTGTATTTCTGCCGATGGCACTATCAACAAAGAAGTTTCTCTTCGTATCGCTAAAGCTCGATCGGCATTTGTCAATCTGAGGCACTTATGGCGTCGTCGCGACGTCTCATTTTCACTAAAGGGCCGAGTTTACAGTGCATCAGTTCGCTCAATATTGTTGTATGGGTGCGAGTCCTGGCCGCTTCGCGTGGAAGACATGCGTCGTCTTTCTGCGTTCGATAGCGGTTGCTTAAGGAGGATCGCGCGTGTTTGGTGGCAACATCGAGTAAATAGTAATGACGTTCGACGTCGCGTCTTGGGGAATGCGAGTATTCCCTTCAACAAACTGGTTTTGTTGCGCCAGTTGAGATGGCTCGGTCACGTTCTACGCATGGCACCTGAGCGTCTACCGCGTCGCGCTCTATTCGCTCGTCAAGGACCTGGCTGGAGGCGACTGCGTGGTGGTCAGCCTTCCACTTGGCGGCAGCACATGAAATCGCTGACGTCGTGTCTAGCCGCTGTAGGATCCGTACGTCTTCCAGGATGGGGACCCAAAGATGAGGAGTGCCAATGGCTTAGCACTCTTGAAGATATGGCCCGCAACCGGAATCAGTGGAAGAGTTGTGTACATTATTGTATTGATTCACATGTTTAATTCTACAAACATTAAAATGACAAAAAAGAACAAAAGCGGCGTGTGAAAAACAAACTAAAAATGTTTGTTCTGCTTTTTATCAAAATGTTCCATTCTTCCTGCGGCATATTAGTTGAAGTGTGTTGCTCACCTTCAACTAGCATGCCACGATGATTATGACGCCATGAATCTTGCTTATCTCCTTATCTCCATGGTTTTAGGCTGGCTCTTTGTCTAGCTAATAGACTGTTGAGAATACATACATACATACATACGGTCTTTTTGATCGGAATGACCGAGGTCCACCTCAAGTGAACCGAGGTCTCAATAGAGGTTGCTTGTAGCAACCCAACCGCCAGCGGATTCTCCAAATTCAACTTTGCATTCAGTTCCGCTGGACCAAGCGTTGCTCGCGGATCTCAGTGGCATAGTGCTTATGGCGTCAACCATGAGCCACTAGGCTCTGAGTTCCAGCCCAACTCAGGCTATCTCCAACTGATGAGTCCCAACAGGACGAAACCGCGGTCTTGGAGTGCCAGTGTTGGGATGAGCAACACTATAATTTTCATTTTACTTACGGTCTTTTTGATCGGAATGACCGAGGTCCACCTCAAGTGAACCGAGGTCTCAATAGAGGTTGCTTGTAGCAACCCAACCGCCAGCGGATTCTCCAAATGCAACTTTGAACTCACCGCTTTGCTCTCTTAAGTTTGGTCGAAGGATGAACTTCCATCATCTTAGGGTGAATCACTAGTCGTCCACATCTCCAAAAAGGGCCTGTGCACAAATCGTCCCAATTGCAGGGGCATAAGTTTCGTTCACGTTGTTTGCAAGATTCTGGTGTGTATCATACTTGGTAGGCTATCCCCAACGCGTGAATCACTACAAGGAGAATAACAGGCTGGGTTCCGCCCTGGTCCCGGCTGCATCAATTAGATTTTCACACTCCGCCAGATTCTCGAGCTCCACCATGTGTGTCAAAAACCAACGATTGTTGTGTTGCTGGATATCTGTGTTGCCTTCGTTTCTGTCTACAGGGCTGAATTGTGGCATTGTTTGTTGAGGAATGGTATTCCCGGGAAGTTCGTTTCCATTCTGCGTGCTCTGTATAGTCTGAGCTGGCGTAGAGTTAGGGCTTATGGCAAGCCTTCGCTTTACTTTGTTGTCACTAGTGGGGTTCGACAACGATGCCCTATCTCTCCATTCCTCTTCAACTTTGCCACTGAGGATGTTATCAAAATGCTCTAGGAGACTTGTTGAACGCTGAGGTTGAGCTCCTCCCAGGCAGTCGGGTGGTTGATTTTGATTGCGCCGATGATATCGTCTTGTTAGATGACAGCCCGCAGGTCGTCCAACTTGCACTTAATCGTCTGGCGATTGAAGCGTCAAAGTATGGCACGTAATTTTCACCATCTAAGTGCAAAGCGTTTTTCATGACTGGTATACGACCCTACCAGCACTCACCATCGATGGGGAAACCTTAGAAGTAGTACAGAGTTTTGTAAACCTGGGAAGCTGCATAATTGCTAATGAGGATGTTGCAAACGAGATGTCGATGCGTATCTCAAAAGTTGGGGCGTATATATATATATATATATATATATATATATATATATATATATATATATATATATCCCTCCCACTTAGCTTCCCCCTCCAACCACGATCTTACACTTGAAGCCTAATAAGCACTACATGACCTGTTTTGATTTTGTGTTCTGTAATGTCTTGTAGTTCGCTTTTTTTCAGATGGCATATCTACTTGTATTGCGGCACAAAGCTAAGGTGTTTCTCACTGGTAGTTAACGTGATGATGATGACGACGGCGACGATGATAATGGTTAGCGTCTCACCAAATCAATTTGATGATGAGTTTCCGACGTTCATCAACCGTGTTTACGCAATTTTTACCATAGTGGGTAAGGCAGCAGTAACCGGAAAGCAAAATAACGTCAAAAGGCAGTGATTTCGGGTTGCATGTATGACAACGGGTACTGTGGGTAGGTGATGAGAAGCAGGGTCGACTGAGATTGGTGTCTTTCAGTAGTGATTCCATAGGGATCGAAGAAATACCAAAGGTACCTGTTTTTCGCTGTTACACAAAAATGAGACTGATTAGACTATAAAAGAAGTGACAAATCATACGATCCTTTGATCAACTTCCATCAATGCGAAAGGCGGTAAGAGGGAAAGCTAGTTGTATGCTAACATCCTTTCAGAAAAGAAGTTATAAGCTTATAATTTAACATGCAAGTTCGTTATCCGGTAGCGTAGGCAAAGAGCTAGCTTGTGTAGATAAAAAGTGACGCGAGAAAAAAAGAACAATGTCGTATGGTGGATGGAAGTCTTGAGATAGGTCGATGCTTACCTCATTGATAAGTGATCTTGACCAGAGAAAAGTGCTCAGTAGTTCAGCACGGTCTTCAATTGCTTTAGGCGAAGAAAGGGAGTTTTCACGCAGATAGTTGATGGCTGCTGCATCTAACTGAGCCGGAAGAGCAATCGCTGGCAAGGAGAGGAAACATGGGTTCCGGCGTAATTGAGAACCAGCAGTTGGAAGCGCCTCACAGGATTGGATACGTGAACCACCCAAAACTAGCTCAAGAGCCTTCGCAGCTCGATAGCGTAATGCACCATTTATAATGGTGGATCTGTAGCTCATTGTGGAGGGATGGTTCCCGATGTGAAATAATAGTGCTATAGAAAACCCTGTGGTAGGGAATAGAGATTCGTAATTAAAGAGAACAAATTGTCAACGTAGAAGGTAATTATTGCTATAAATGACATCAGTAACATAAGTACCAAACGCAGGGACACGTTGCATCGATACTCAAAGGCCATGCAGATAGGATAAACAAAAGAACACCACAGAAATATGAGAAAGGGTACAAAAATTACTTGGAGCACATACGAGTCACTCAGAGTGGAAATACCTGCGCATTTGAAACCAATGCTAAGCAAGCACGGTTCGTTACCATGCAAATGCAAGACGGTGTGTGTACAACACATCGCATATGGATGACCAAATTACGGCACACAACCACAGGCGGTCTGTCTTGTCCCTGGAAGTCAACATGACTTGACCTGTCCTGTTCAGGTAGTCCTCAACTAGTTTCATAAGGTCGAGGAACATGTGACACGTAGGCACGCATCAGGACACCGCCCACTGTAGTATGCGCCCAGTTCAGGATTCACTGTGTAAAGTAGGTAGTGATCGGACTGCGACAAGATGAAGTCATTAAATAACGTTAGCACAATCAATTACTAAGACAATGATATGGATAGAGGATACTTTGTAGAAACATGGGTGCCTCGTCGTCACAAGCACATTAATGAAGCCGAAAGGGAGGGGACTGAGACGATGAGCAACGAAGAGAGAATGATCGGTAGATTAGAAAAATAAACTAAGTATAGTAAGCATTTAAGCCTAGTTTCATGCCGGTATCCTCAGCGGAAGAACGGACTACAACAGCTCGAAACTCAATAACTAGCAGCTAAGCAATGACAGCGTTTCTTCCGTTGGAGTGGGTCAATAGTAACACTTCTCGTTAGCGTCCAACAAACTAACGCTTTTTCCAGTACTTGATATCTGCTGGTAGATCGGAATTTTCTAGGTCAGTTTTCCTGAACCATATAATTCACTTATTCTACTATTTCAATGCTATACTTCCTGAGGCTCAATTAAGGGTTTGACAAGGTCTTTATCTTTTAATTTGTAAGTGTATGAATCGGATTTGAAAGACTGTGTCGGTTATCGTTGTGTCAGCAGAAACGACAGCAATTACAGACCCGAAGTTGAGATCATTCCTGGGTATGGTGAGTTATTACAGTAGCTACCTATCGTCCATGCATGACCTATGCGGACCATTAAAAAAGAAGCTGATGAAGGACGTTCCATTGATCTGGATTACCGAATGTCAGGAAGCCTTCGACAGGATCAAATCGTCACTAAGCTCAGAACTGATGTCAACGCACTAGGTTCCAAGCCTGCCAATTGTAGTGGCATCGGGTGCATCCAGTTATGGAGCTGGAGCGGTCATCTCTCACATTTTCCCAGGCGGGTCTGAAAAACCAGTCGCTTATGCCGCTCGTTCACTGAGAGTAGCATCATCATCATCATCATCAACAGCAGTACATCAGCCATTTGAACTGATGCTTCGCTGCCATACAACCATGAGGAACTATGAAATAAAGAATAAGAAGAGGGAGAGAAGGGGGACTTACCTGAAAACCTTAATGCCCTAAGCAAACATTCAGGGTCAAGGCGCCTACACCTTGTGTAGACAACATACCGTCACAAACAGCTGGCTATCGTGCAAAGATAAGGCGGCATCGGCGAGACAGCTTCCTTGCGGCTTTCACTGCCACGCGTCATAATCAGCCATTACCCCACAGATAACTCAGCACCAAACATACTTTAAACAGGCAATCCGATTAGGAGACGGCAGCAGACGCGCCACTGGTGTCTATTGCGAGCCGTGTCCTGTAAAGTCTCGAGCCAAGCACAAGGTGAGTCACGTGGACTCCAACCCGGAAGGCGAGACGGACCAACGGCACCCAGTTTGGTCGTCAGTGACTTCATTTCCCGCTGCCAAGTCAACTTCTGTCCACCTCGAGCCTTGCGCCATCCTACACCTGGTTGACTGAACAAGGCCCTCCTAGGTAAGCGGTGACCAGGCATGCGTAGCACGTGCCCGAGCCAACGCAACTTATTCAGTGCTATCTGTTGTTCTAGGGAGCTAGCATGATCATCACCACCTAGTACTCGCCTACGCACATCATCGTTGCGGACACGTTGGTGCCATCCGACTCCAGCAATGCTTCGCAAACAACGATGATCAAAGACTTGAAGGCGCCTCAGATCTTCAGACCGAAGGGGCCAAGTCTCACTACCATAGAGCAGAACGGCCCTCACTGTGGCCTTGTATACACGGCCTTTCAGACGGAGGGAAACTCCCTTCTGTCGCCAAAGATGACGCAGGTTCAAGAAGGCAGCTCTGGCCTTTGCAATGCGTGAGATCACGTCAGTTTCTATGCGCCCATCATTGCTGATGCAGCTGCCAAGATAAGTGAATTGATCAACCACCTCCAGTTCCTCCTTAGCAAGCGTCAAGGGGTCATCGAGTGGCTGGTGGTCCTGCAGCAACACTTTGCACTTTGAAGGTGCGAAGTGCATACCAAATAATGGGACCACTCTGGACAGGCTATTCAGGGTTGATTGTGCTGCCTCAACATTGTCGAAAAGCAACACGATATCGTCCGCATAATCTAGATCAACTAACCGTTCACCAGGCAGCACTTCAACACCTACATCGTGAAATTCCGCAAGGGAACACTCCATGATAGAATCCACGACGAAATTGAACAAAAACGGGGAAATCGGGCAACCCTGTCGAACGCCACTTGTAGTCGAAAAGCTATCCGATAGGACACCATAGACCCTGACGCGGCCTGTAGTGTTCGAGTATAGAGCACGAAGGTTGTTCACATATTTCGTGGGAACACCTTTCCGCGCAAGTATTTCGAACAGAATCGATCGATCGACTGAATCGAACGCACTCTTGAAATCGAGGAACACAGCTATTGTCGGTCTGCGGTATACGTGGCGCTGCTCTAGCACCTGCCGCAAAGTAAATATATGGTCTATACAGCCACGTCCTGGGTGAAAACCGGCCTGCTCTTCTCTAATCCGAGATTCCCGTTCTGCAGTGAGGCGACGAACGATAATCGAGGCCAGTAATTTTGTCACAACTGGCGTTAGGCTAATACCCCTGTGGTTCGCACAGTCTGTGCGACTGCCCTTTTGTATATTGCCACTATAATCGATTCGCTCCAATTAGCCGGCACACTCTCTTCGTTCCAGATGCGTTCGAATAGGGAGGTCAGTGCTTTGCAGAGGACCTCACCTCCATCCTTAAATAGTGAAGGTGGTAGGGAATCCGGGCCAGCGGCACGAAAACGATTGAGGGCTGTGATCGCGTTTCGGACCTCGGCCTCCGACGCAGGCTCTAAACTAACCGTCCATGGCTCGTCCTGCATCACCTGAGTAGGAAGAGGTCCGGGAGCAGGGGGCCAGCTGAACTGATGTTCAAAGTGCTCAGACCAACGAGCCATACGGCGCTCCCTATTGTGTATCAGCGCACCCGCGCTGTCCCTGATTGTCTCACTGACGCCTGGTTTTCTCGGACCAGTGGTGCGTATTAGCTGGAAGAGCTTCCGGTAATTGCCTACTGCTTCTGCCTCCTCCATTTCTTGAGCCCGACTGGTCCACCAGGCTTCCTTGTCAGCACGTAGGCTCCGCTTTAGTTCACGCCTAATAGCCCGTCTGGTCACATTGTGTTCAGAACCAGTCGGGAGGTGTCTTCTGGATTCCAACATTTTCAACGACCTCTCGGATATCCAGTGACTGGTGCGATGACGACTGATTGTGCCACAAACAGATGCTCCTGCGTCGTGCATGGCAGTCGAGATCCTATTCCACTGAAGTTCAGTATCATTAGGACAAGACAGCGAGAGTTCGTTATGCAGTGCTTCTTGATAGGCTTGCCTGACAGAGGGCTGGGACAATTTCTCCGTTGCCAATCGGGGGAGACGCTTTGTGCGCCTTCCGGTAAAGTTCATGGAGAAACGACAGCGCACCAAAGCATGGTCAGAGTCGACACAGGTACTCCAGTACGAGCGGCAATCCAGAATGGAACCGCGCCACCTGTAACTTATGGCTATGTAGTCAATTTATGTCCATCGCTGACCAGCTACAGGTGGACGCCAAGTGGCACTTCGGCGCCCACTGTGTCTAAAAGCAGTGCTAGTAAGAAACAACTGGTGCTCCGCACACAGTTGCAGCAGACGCTCGCCGTTGTCAGTCCGTTCGGCGTTAAGTCCATACTTACCACCCAGCTGAGCTTCTGAAGAGCTCAGACACCCTACTTGTGCGTTCATATCCCCTGCAAGTACTATAATATCTGAACTAGTAGCACTGCGTAGCAGCGTGTTCAGTTCGTGATAGAAAGTGTCCTTGACTGCATTAGAACTGCAGTCCGTGGGAGCATAAGCAGAAATCACAAACAAACAGCGTTTTGTTTTACTTCGCGAATTCACCTTAGCTGATGTCGTCAAACGGGCTGCACATAAACGGCTGTTCACCGGAATCCAATCAACCAACGATGACTCAGCCTTGGAGCTGAGAATGATACCTACACCAGCTTGACCCGTGAGTGCCGCATCGGCGTCTTCGGATGCGTGCAACCAATAACGAGAGGATAAGCCGGGTGCAGTCAATTCAATAACCCCGTTAGGATCATTAATCCTAGTTTCGGACACACAACACACATCCACACCCAGTGTGTCCAAGGTGCGTGCGAGTGCAGCCTGCTGACCTGTTTGTCTTAGAGTGCGGACGTTGAATGTCGCCATGGAAACGGGACAGCGTGGCCTTATAAGTAACTTTTGCCGATAGGCGTCCGATAAATGCTGTGGGATGGTGGCTGCAGATGGTTCTACTCCAGTAGCACTTCGGTTGCTGTCAATTAAGCTGGGAATTATAGAAGGAAGGTTAGTAATGGGGGCCGGGATGGGAGTAAGAGAAAAAGGTGGAAAAGAAAGAAGGGAGGCGCCAGCAGTAGCATGCTTTCGCTTATCCTCCCTGCTGTATGCAGCAGATAAGGCGACCCTTGATAATCTGCGCGACGGCCGATGCAGGATGAAGTTTGT